CTGAACAGTTTGTTATGTAGTGAGTGCCCTGCTGTGGTGGCTGCGCTATCGGGAAAACCTGATGGCTTTCTAGGGAAAATTTGGCCACGAAGTCTGCTAACACCTATGCTTTTACAGCGGTTCTTGGCCGAAACTTAATGTCGAACTGCTCTAACTCCATTGCCCACTTCAAAATTCGTCCAGAAAAATCTGCCCTTTCAAACAAGGCTTTTAATGGAAAAGCTATCAAAATAATCACGATGTGGGTAAGGAAGTAGTGCGACAATTTTCTGGAAGCCATCATTAATGCTAAGGCCAACTTCTCCAATGGCAAGTACCTTGTTTCGGCACCCGGCAATGTCTTGCTAACATAGAAGATAGGCAGGTGTTGTATTCCCTCAGCCCATACCAATACTGCGCTAACTGTATGCTGGGAAACTGCTAAGTATAAAAAGAGTTCCTCTCCTAGTACCAGGGTTGCCAACAATGGCGGAGAGGTAATGTATTCTTTCAAGCTCTCCAGAGTTCGGTTACATTCGTCATCCCACTCGAACTTGGCCTTAAGTGCCTGGAAGAATGGTCGACACTTATCTGACGACCGACTTATGAATCGGTTTAGTGCTGCAACTAGGCCCATAAGGTGCTGCAGTTCCTTGACTGCGTTGGGCCTTTTAAGCTCTTAAATGGTCTTGATCTGAGAGGGATCGGCGTCTATACCGTGGTTGGTTACTAAAAAGCCAAGAAATTTGCCTAACCCCACCCCAAATGCGCATTTGGATGCGTTCAGTCGCAGCTTGTGGGTCTTCAAAATCTGAAACATCTCGGTTAGGTCGTCGAGATGGTCTACTTCACTCTTACTTTTGACCACCATGTCGTCAATGTATGCTTCCATTGTTTTGCCTAACAATAGTTTGAACATCTTTGTGACCATTCGTTAAAATGTTATTCCTGCATTTTTCAAGAAAGTTAAGGCGGTTGATTAAAAGTCTCCCAATACCGGTTATTGTAAGACGTCAATGTTTCCTTCTCACCCATGTTTGTGGAGAGAAGCTGGTCAATCTCCACTGGCATCTTGGTGTTCGTTTTGAATCTGGTCACAAATGCCTCTGCTAGTTGCGCCCATGAAGCTATACTACCTTTTGGCAACCTCTCAAACCATGTTAAACTCAGGTCGCCAAGGCTGGAAGAAAACAGGCTACACATTAGATCCTCGTTTTGCCGATACACGGCCATAACCTGGCGGAAGTGGCTCAAGTGCATGTAAGGGTCTAACTTCCCCTCATAAGTAGTGAATTTGAGCTAGTTTCTGCCTAAGGGTAATGGTGCACTCTCTATCGTCAGAACGAACAGCGAGCTCTGTAACCTCGCTAACGCTTTGTCTGCTGTTTCGTAGGCAAGGTCTAGTTCTGGCATCCCAACCTCGACACTCCCATGTGTTCTAGGCGCCAACCGTTGCAGCGCTGAGACTCTATGGAGGTCGCGAGCCTGAGTATCTTCTCTCCTTCGAGTCCTTTCCTGTAACACTGTACGCAAGTCTGCCGACCTAGGCAACTCCGTGTGCCTAGATGTTGTTTAGTGTGAATGCGAGGAACGATAACTGTTTCCCTCTGTGTAAGACCTTTCAGTCCTCGTTCTCTCAGACCTAGAGTAACGAGTCCTGGAAGTCCTTGAATATGTGTCACCTATCCTGAGGCTTCTACTTTCAGCTTGTGACAGTGTGACTTGCCTGTCACGTTCTTCTGAGTGGCTAGAGTGCGTGTTGCCTTTGCGCCCTTCTTCTGTTGCCACCCATTTGCCTTTTATCTGGCACTTCATCGTCTCCATATTTGGCCGCCATTCTCCATATCAATTCGTCTTGCTCCCTTACGCGATCCTCCAAAACCTGAGGATCCATCCTCCGTTTCTGCCTATCAGAGCTCTGAGAGCGATGAGGGCTTGAGCCCTGCCTTTCTCGTGTGTCTCTCCGTGGGTTCCATCGCTGGGAATCTAATTCTGTCATAAGTGGGATAAAAGGTAAACCTTCACGCCTCCGACCTCCTTCCAAGGTCTGCCCATCAATAGCAGAATGTGGTAAGTCTTCATTGTGCACCATAGATTTCAACTAAAAAGGAAACTCAATCAAAAGGTTTGTTCTTTGTGTGATTTCCATAGACGGCGCCAATTGTATGAGCACAGAAATAATCTTCTCGTATAATCTTGTTGATCAAGTTTGCACTCCTTCAAACGTCATCGCTTTGTCACCTGAAAACACAAATGTGAGCTAGCCGGCGGGTGTGTACCGAAAATCTCTCTGATGCCTAAGTCAACAAATAAACAATAGACACAAAAGCTCTATATATTCTAGAGTGAGAATTGTGATACTTATACATAGGTCTTGTCATGAGTTTTTGTACATTCTGACTGACACTATCCTGATAGGATTCCAACTCTCCCTATAAGAGTCCTCCTAGGAATCACACTCCCAAGGATAATGTCCATCCTTATAACTTCTTACTCACTGCTAACCAATTCTAGAGTGAGAATTGTGATACTTATACATAGGTCTTGTCATGAGTTTTTGTACATTCTGACTGACACTATCCTGATAGGATTCCAACTCTCCCTGTAAGAGTCCTCCTAGGAATCACACTCCCAAGGATAATGTCCATCCTTATAACTTCTTACTCACTGCTAACCAAGTGAGATAGTTGCAACTATTACCTCGGCTGGCACAAGACTTAACTGTGCTCACAGAGCTCGGTGCTACTTTAGGCAACACTGTCAGTCTTGACTTTGATGACGCCCTACATAGCTATCCTTTAGCTCGGCCCCCCTTCCACTGATACTTTGGTCCAAGATAGCTAGGTCATGCCGTTGGTAGCCCATCTCTGACCGGCTTGATGCAGATGATCTAGGACTGCGCTACATAAGTAACTACTTCGGCCCATAGTTCGGCCCAAATCTGAAATACGAAATGTCTTCTTGGCCTCATAACGCAACCCATCTTCCAAAGAAGACTCGTCTTAGCTTGGCCCAATTTGTTCACAAATCACCCTCTCAGATTATAAAAGAGAAGAAAGTTTCTAGGGTTTAGAGATGAAAAGATGTGAGATTTGGTTTGATTTTTGAAAAATGACGGTTTGCTGGATTTTCAGAATAGAGGTTATTTAAGGGCCTAAACAGTGAGTTTATGGTTTTAATGGTTAAATTGAAGGCCAATAGGTGGGAGAGAGATTAGGGTTGATTTGGGTGTGATGGATAGGGTTTGGGGGCTAAAAAGTGCACTTTTTGAAGATTGTGAATAGAAATACGAGAACAGTACTTGGGTTATTGGCGCAAAAGAAAGAGAAAGACAAGGACAAGAAGAGAGAAAGAGGTTCTTCACCCTTTTAAGGGCTAGGTAAATTCATGCAAACTCAATCCCAAATTCTCATAAATCAAATCTCTATTGAAAATAAAAATTTCATGCATATTTATAAGTTGTTAGAATCTTCTTATTCCTACAAGGACTATGACTACGATTCCATAACTAAAAGGACAAGCGGTGGAAACTACCACATTGGAGTACGGTAGGGGCCGAGGGAATTTCTGGTGGTTAGAAACTTTGACCAACTAAAATACTTTAGACCTGATAAGGACTTTATAAAAGACCCAATAACCAATGCTTTTAAAATCGGATCGGCGATTCAACCGATTGACTGGTCTAGGTTCCAGCCCGGATACACCGATAAGCCCTTTCCAGTTCGAAACCAGCCTTTTCCATTAAACCAACAAAACCCACGGTTGAATTGGTCAACCGGAAGAACCGGCACCAGTTCAAGGGAACTGGCCAGGCCTGACATGTCTTCTACAAGCATGGTCAGGCGCTGAAAAAAAAAACAACTTACAAGGTTTGAACTCAAGACCACATTGCTTCTTTCCGCTTAACCAGCAATCACCTTGTTAAATAATAGTGGAAATATTTTATTTATTGTATGCCATTCATTTTCTTCCATATATTACTATAATTAACATTTTTACAAACAATATCAATATAAAAATAAATGTTTAAACTTATAAAGGGTTCCTGGAATCAAAAACAGAACTACAATAAATGTGTGCTTTATTCTCTTCAATTCTGATTGAAGACTTGGAAACTACTCTTTACCATTTCTCTCTTATCTAGTCCACTCTCATATCTTTTCTCTTCTTGTCACTTCTTTCTCTCTTTTTTCCTTCCTTCTTCTCTTACTCAACTTTCCCTCTCTTGCTCTCATTGTCTTGTTCTCACCACCACTAAGCTGATTTGAAACTTTACAATTCTGAATCTAAATTGTTTCAAGGATTTCTTTGCTTTTCTTGCTTTTTATAGTTTTTTTTTCCCCCACTTTCTTCTTTTTTTCCTCACAATATTTTTTCTTTTGTTACTTTGAAGAACCACTGTCATGCATGTTTGTAAAGTAAGTTTTGCTGCAAGAGGGAAAGATTTTGTGATCATTATGAAGAGTTCAGATTGCCTATTCTTTCCATTCACCAAAAACATTCTACTTCAATTTTAGCTCATCAATGGAAAAATGCTAGATTATATCGTCAAGTCCTTGAAGCTCTGACGTGATCCCCATTTCTAAGGGTTAAATTAAGAAAGCCCAGGGTCATAAAGAGTATAAAGGCTAGAAACACTTGCAAATTTCTGAAAACACATGTATACAATCTGTATGTGTCTTGATTTATCAAACCATTTCTTTTGCCATTCTAAAACAGAATATCTGGAATCTGTTTAACGTAACAGCGATCAAGTAGCTCTTTTGATATCATATATATGCTGACATCATGCACAAAACTTCAATCTTTCAAAAAACTTCTACTTAATGAATCTCTTCCTATGATTTTACTTTTAAGCCGCCTAGTTTTCAATAAAAGAAAAGGTTTATTGTGTGTTTTTAACCCAGAATCTTGTCAATTTTGTTCTTTTATTGGGTATACAGTACATTCCTATAGTCACATTAATAGATCTTCTGTCAGTGTGTAAACTTAGAAGGATCTGTTACTTCTCTTTCATGCAGGTTGTTTCGAGGGCATTAGTTGAAAATGCAAGAACCTTAAGATTGCCTACTTATTTGCATGAAAGATTAAGTTTAATCCGTAATGCAAAGACGAAACATGAAGAGGAAGGAATTGCTCCACCGATTGATGTAAGCCTAATTGATTGTTACTTGACTCTTGCGTGTCACATCATCATACCTATATAAATATATGAAAACATGCTAATCAAAAATCCTGATTTAGCTATGTCATGCTTTAATTTTGTGAACTCCTCTCGTTTAATTCACTTGTTTTCCACACTCCCATTTCAGAGAATTGCGGCATGCATGAACATGTCCCAAACAAAAGTCAGGAATGCAACAGAGATGCCAAGTACTTTGAGCTTTATACTGTCTCAATATCTTGTAGTTTTTGCAGTTATACCAGGGTTCATCCCTTGTGTGATTTCTCCTTGCTTAAAGTAAAATATCTCTCTTTGTAGGCAATTAGTAAGGTCTTCTCTCTTGATAGGGAAGCATTCCCCTCTTTAAATGTCCTTCCAGGAGAAACACTTCATAGTGTAAGTGCATATGTACTATGTAACAACTCAATTTTTGAATACTAACTTTTTATTGACACTACATACCACCTAAGTGATAAAAGTTTGACTCCTTTTTCTATCTTTCCAGTACTTTGCAGATAATCACCTCGAGAACAATCCATGGCATGGAGTAGATGAGTGGGCACTCAAACTAGTAAGGTAACAAAAAGAATTTTTAAAACTTTAAAATGCAAAATGTTCAGTGGAAATATTATTCCGTGCTGAGCAGGAAAGTAGGTTGTCTGCCAATGAACGAATGACTGATAAAAGGCACCCATCCATGAATATCTCCGTATTATCCTGCTCAAAATCAACACATTGATATGATCAAAATTCACAGAGAGTGAGAAGAACGGGAATCTAAGTGATGTACATGCAAATGCATGCATATATGCTTATTTCTTTTAAAATGTAGAAAATTATTTTCTACATGTATTGAGATTCTAAAATATGCCAAATGGCTTTTTTTAGCTTTTCTTTGTAGCTAGTTTTTGTAAATACAGCACATCTTATAATGTTGTTTTCCAAACTAGCACGAACAATTTATTTTGCAGGATGAGGTAAATAAGCTTATTAGTACAACACTAAGAGAACGGGAGAGAGTTATTATACGTCTTTACTATGGCCTGGACAGTGAATGCCTTACTTGGGAGGATATTAGTAGACGGTGGGTACTGCTAAACACTATCCATGACATCTCTCAGGTGGCCAAATATGCTGATGATATATAGACATACTTTTAAAAATGCTCTGGAGTTGATTCTGTCATGCATGCTTTTGAAATTAAAGAAAGAATGCTGATGCTAAAGCTATATTATAGGGGAGCACTTTTTACTTTTAAATCGTTGCATGTGGTCTATAATCAAATCATTCAGATGAACTTTAGCCCTCTGATTGATGCAAAAATTTGTGTGGTGATATTGACATGATTCAAATTTCCATTTATAGATACAACTAACTAGGCAACCAAAGGAAATGATCAATAATATTAACATGGTGCAATGCATATATAAACTCGATCATGTACTCTTTTGAACCTTTACATTGGTGACATTGTGATTTCTAGGTCCTTTTCCCTGCCTGTTTATTGAAATCCTTCTTTTGCTTTCATATTTTTTTTTTTTTTTGGGTCCAAATTAACTTAGTAGTTTTGAATGTCATTATGTCCAACTAAAACATGCTGCAAGGAAGAGGAGACTGGAGGCCATGCTGATGAATCATTGACTTTGGTAGTGGACTACATAGAAATTGCATGTAAATATCAAGGAAGAGAAGTTGATTCTCCATTTTATTTTTCTTATCAGGAATTAAGCAAGTGTATACATACATGGTTATGTAACAGATTGTATCCTTTAATTTTATGTTGGAAGTGTCAAACACACCTTGTGATCGAGAGCTTCTAACATATGTCACAGCAATCACTCTCTAATGTATTCTATTATTGCCAAAGATTCGCAGTTGTGAATCTATCTATATCTTTTTCTACAAACTTCAAAACCAGGTTTAAATTATTGCCTTTGTTACATTACATGTGTTGTGTGGACTAACCACTTTGTCTTAATTTATTGGCAAACCATTTTCAGACTAATTAATGTGGAATCGCAGGTAATACATGCATATGCAGGTGGTGGTATCCAACGGGAATGAAATAAATTAGCTTGTGCAGTGAAGATGTGAATAGGTTGTCTTATTTTCTTCAATTTGTAGGGAGCTTATATTTTCACACCCCAAATCTCTCAATCCGCATTCGACGAATTTTTTTTTATTATATTTTTGTCCTAAAATAAAAGTACCAAATTACCCTAAATCCTAATTCTCCATCCAAAACCCAGCCACCACTCATCATCGCTGGTGTGAGACCCCTAAATTTTATAAATCCTAGTGAGGCCCTTACTTTTGAATTATTATAATAAAAGTCCTCAACTCCTCATTTATAATTTTAACCCTAGAATTGAAAACAAATCCCGGATGAAACTGTGCAAATCCTAATCGACTCCCGTAACTTAGTAGTCGTTTCTAACACTCTAGTATTAATTACTTAACTCTCTAATTATAGATTGATCGCTCAAAACCTTAGTTTTCGATTTCTATCGTTTTCATTCGGTTACGCGTCTTTTAATTCAAAGTAAGATAATTCAAACTAAATTATTTTTCCTAACACTATTTTAATTAATACTAAACTTGAAATAGATATTCTAATTAAACCCAAGCCCTTACATTTTTTTTAAATTTTATTTTGACCTCAAATCATTCTTTATACATATAAAAATACAAATTATTATTATAATCTTTTTCTACCAAAATATCTACATATATATATATATATA